TGTTTGCACTTTGAGACGTTGGCTTTTATATTGAACTTATTTTTATTTCTTACATATTGACTTTGTCAATGATGTGACGCGTTGCGTTAATGTTTTACATTTAGCATTGTGCGTGATGTACTTGATGAGGGGATCAATCTCTCAATATTTTTTTTTGTTAGGGATCATGCTATTTATTCTTGACCTAGTGGGTCGTATATATATTGGGACCGTGCATGGCCACATTTTAAGTAGATGACCCGTTAAAAACAAAATAGAGTGATTTGGATGATCAAGCTGGCCAGGCTGTATAGATCATCGTAATATCTCTAAGTGTTCTATGGATTGTAAAGATATTCACTTGATGTGATAGCTAAGTAATAGGCTAATGACAACATTGGATGTGAAGAAAATGACTCGCTTGAATTATATAATCGAAAATGTGAATGTTACAGGCCTATCTAAGGCAAATGGAGAGAAAAATATAAAAAACTAATCATTCTATATGATTAAAATTGGTCTAAATAGAAATGATAATAAAATTGTTTGAAATACAAATGATAAATTATTCTTCTTCCACGCCTTTCTTGTGCTTGTCCATGTTTTCCATGTTGATGATGTATGGGTACACTTGATGTCTTTTATGCCTGTAAAATATGATAGCAAACTTTTAAGTGTTTGATGTGAATACTTAGCAACTTTGTATATTGATGTAATCGTAGAGAGGGGGTCTATATATCCGAGATGAGGATTCGGTAATTTTCTCGCACACCGACATGTGTAGTCGACGTTTGATTCAATATACTCGAATGTTTGCGCATGTTTGTCAAATTAGACGATATTCATATATTAGGAGAGATGCTAAGTATGTATTGAGACTATATCAAATGGCGGATGTAGGATTACCCTTCGTGAGGAGACGCGGAGCATCGTTCATCTTATAGTAGCTGATTCGAGCGATATCTGACATCATAGTTGATCTGTAATCTATAAGAGAAAGATGTAAGGAGATTAGAGGGCGTTGAGGTGGGTAATGAAGTAGCCCCTCCAGTTAGGGTGAGGCGTTCACATACCTCTTCATGGGTCGGGCAGATCCCGAATGTCGTTGACATCGTTGCAAGCCAAGGGACGTAGAAGATCTCAAAGCCTGGAAGGATGGTTACTTATAAGAGATTGTCGTAATATGGAATATTGGATACTGGCTTATAATCATACGATGTAAACTTCGAATATACCTTAAGCGTAGAAACTTTTGAGGTTCCCTACATTCCAGGTTCTGGGTATAGGGTGTCCATCGAGGCTCTCGAGACGATAAGCTCCTGTGTTGACCACTTGTGTTACTTTATAAGGTCATTCCCAATTGGGGTCTAGTTTTCCGATTGGGCGTGAGGCTTCGGCTTTGCGGAGGACTAAATCTTCTACATGGAAAGAACGAAGGTGGACTTTGAAGTTATAAGCTTTCGCCATGCGATTCTTGTACATTTGCTGTCGGGTAGAAGCAATCTCTCTTAGTTCATCAACGAGATTGAGGCTAGCTCTCATTGCTTGTTCATGACCCTCTGGAGAATAGTTGGTGACTCTCCAAGAGGGTTTGCCAATCTCGACGGGTGCCACAACCTCTGTTCCGAAAGCCAAGTTAAACGGAGATTTTCTGGTTGCTGCTCGTGGGGTTGTTCGATATGCCCATAGAGCACTATGCAAATTCTTTAACCCACTTTCATTTGGCACTTCCAATCCTTTTCTTGAGGTGTTGGAGTATAGTGCGATTAGTTACTTCGGTCTGACCATTTGTTTGGGGATTGGCGACTGAGGTGAAGAATTGTTTTATAGATAAACCAAGGCACCAATTCTTTACTTTACCACTACAAAATTGGTTCCATTGTCTGAAATAATGGAACGTAGGATCCTGAAGCGGCATATAATATTCTTCCAGAGGAATTTGATGACTTCTTCCTCTCAAATGCGAGCTAAAGGTTCAAATTCTACCCACTTGGTGAAGTAATCTACAGCTACAATGAGGAACGTGCGTCCTCCTGTTGCTGGTGGAAAAGGGCCGACCAAGTATACTCCTCATTGAGCGAAACGTATGGGGTTGTCAATCGGTTGCATTAGTGTTGCTGTCATATGAAGAATGTTGGCGTGTTCTTGGCAAAGATTACATCGTTGCACTAGTTTATTTGCGTCTGCAAGCATGGTAGGCCAATAATAACCTTGTCTCAATACTTTGAGAGCCAAGGTTCTTCCACTCAAATAATTTCCACAAATGCCCTCATGTACTTCTCGTAGTACATAGTCTACTATAGATGGGTTAAGGCATTTGAGGTAGGGGAAGGAGAATCCTCGCTTGTATAGCTCTTCACCTACTACCAAGAAACGAGCCGCTCTTGTCTTTATTTTCTTTGCTTTGGACGAGGTCAGTCGGAAGTTCTCCGCTTTTGAGATAGTTCGCGATGGGGGTGGTCCAACAGGGTTCGTCCACTTCAGCACAATTCACTTCGTCAATAGAGACTATTTCTGGTTGGGAAGCCGTGAGGAAAGTGACTTTCCGGCTTCCAATGCTTGCTAAGTCTAGTTAATTTGTCTGCCTCAATATTGTTGGCTCGTGGTACTTGCTTTATCTCATAACCATCCAATTTTGGAAGGAGAGTAAGTGTAAGAGCAAGATACATGGCCATGGATTCTTCTTTGGCCTCAAATGTTTCAAGGACTTGGTTGACCACTAATTGGGAGTCGCGTGTATTAGGAGCTTGCTAGCTCCGGCTCCTAAAGCAAGGTGGATCCAAACGATCAAAGCTCTGTATTCATCTTCGTTGTAAGAGGCTTTAAAATCAAATCGTTGAGCGTATTAAAACTCATCACCGTCTCGGCTCGTAAGTACAATGCATGCGCCTCCTCCCGTAGCCGTACATGATCCATCGACATTAATGGTCCAAGTGGGTATGTAGGTGCTCTCCTCTATTGCAGGCATCTCTACTACAAAGTCTGCTAGAATTTGAGCTTTGATGGCGGGGCGTGGCTTGAATTTGACCCCATATTCGCTCAGCTCTATAGCCCATTTGGCTAGTCGTCCGAAATTCTCGGGACTTCTCAATATTTGTTTAAGAGGATAGTTGATGAGAACTATTACTTGATGCGATTGAAAGTAAGGACGTAACTTTCTGGTTACATTAATGCGGGCGAGAGCGAGTTTCTCCATGTTCTGAGCCTTGAAGAGCTCAACTTATGTAATATATTGGTTGGTGACCTTTCTCACCGTTATGAATGAGCACCGCGCTAATGGCATCAGTAAAGATGGCCAAATATAGGAAGAGGGTATCCCTTGGCTGGCGCTCCATTAGTAGAGGTGGGGAGGTAAGATATGTTTTCAATTCAGCGAAAGCCCTTTGACAATCCTCATTCCATTCAAACTTTTTCCCACCTCTTAACACTTTTAAGAAAAGAAAACCTTTATCAGCTGATCGGGATATGAAGCGGTTTAAGGCCGCCAAACAACCGTTAAGTTGTTGGACCTTCTTGGTCGATGTGGGAGGGGCCATGGAGGTGATAGCTTCAATCTTTGCTGGGTTGGCTTCGATTCCCTATTGTGAGATCTTGCATCCTAAAAAAATTCCACCTCGAACTCCAAAAGAGCATTTTAGGGGGTTAAGCTTCATCTTATACTCGCGTGAAATGGAAAAAACATTGGTTTAAATCGGTTAGGTGATCGAGACCTCCATGCTTTTGACAAGCATGTCGTCGATGTATACCTCAATATTTTTACCAATCAGGTCTGCAAACATCGTGTTCACCAGACGCTAGTAAGTAGCTCCCGCATGACTTGATAGCAGTAGATGCCTTAATCTGTGATGAAGCTGGCTCTCTCTTGATCTTCTGGGGCGAGCAATATTTGGTTATATCCTTGATATACATCGAGGAAGCTGAGAAGTTCGCACCCTGAGGTCGAGTCGATGAGCTGGTCGATCCTTGGTAAGAGAAAATGATCCTTGGGGCATGCCCTGTTGAGGTCAGTGAAGTCTACACACAATCTCCACTTGCCTCCGGGCTTGGGCACGAGTACCAAATTGGACAACCAATCGGGGTATTGAACCGGTCTGATGTGGCATGCGTCTAAGAGTTTTGCCACTTCCACTTTGATATGTTTGTTGCGTTCAGGACTAAAAGTCCGCTTACGTTGCTTGATTGGCTTTAATCTCTTGTCGACGTTGAGTCGATGCAATGCTACCTTGGGGGGAATTCCCGTCAAATCTTGAGCCTTCCAAGCAAACACGTCCCCATTGTGTCGAAGGAAGTCAATTAGTTGATTCTCCGTTCTTTGATCCTGATCAGAACCGGTGCAGAGCAGCTTAGAATTATCACCGGGTATGAGATCCACTAACTTTATCTCTTCAACAGCTGCTAGCTTGGTGCTATTGTCAAGGTACACTGGTTAAGATTTCTTTATCAGCTTCGATGACCGCGTTGACCCATTTTCGTTAATCGTACTTCGGGGTATCGTCTCCTCTTCCTGAAGGCTTAGGTTTCTTAGATGGCTCACGTAGAGCTCTTGCATGACATTCTCGAGCGAGACGTCTACCGCCAAGTACTTCCCCCATACCATAAGAGGTTGGGAATTTCAATTTTTGGTGAAAGGAGGATGGGACTGCCTCTAAAGCGTGGATCGTAGGTCTCCCTAGGATGATGTTGTAGGGAGAATGTTTATTAACTATCAAGAATTTCACCATCTTCTTCACTCGACATGGGCTATCTCCGAGGGATATGGGTAGTTCCACTTCTCCATTGGAGAATACATCTTCCCGTGTGAATCCTTTTAGTGGAGTGCTTACGGGGCTGAATCGGGTGTTGTCAATTCTTAGTTGTTTAAAGGCGTGAGCGTACATGATGTTGGCTGAGCTCCCATTGTCGACTTGTATTTTCTTGACTAAGAAATTGGCCACTGAGACTGTGATTACTACCGCATCGTTATGTACTTCAACTGGACCTCCTAAGTCGGAGGAATTTAAGATGATGTTGTGATCAGGTCTTCATGTCTGGTAGTCAGACACGGACGAAGATGCATATTCTTGATTCACACGGGCTGATCGGGCGAGGGTGCGTCTCTCATTTTGGGAGTCACCACTTGCTGGTCCTCCAGAGATGAAGGCAGTGACTCCCCGGGTGGGTTGATTGTCATTGTTATCTTGGCCGCGTCGATGACCCCCCTCTTCTCGTCGTTGTTCTTGATCTCGATTATTATCTCGACATAGGAGGTCATCACGCCGCTTGTTTCGGGGTTTATCGATATACTCGCCTAAGTGCCCCTGTTTGATCAATCTCTCAATCGCCAATTTGAATTGTGCACATTCATCGGTAGTATGTCCTTTATCTTTATGGAATCGACAATAGCGGTCTAATCTTTCTCGTTTTGCGTTGGGCTGCATGGAACGTGGAGGTTCCGCTGGACCTTTTTGTTCTATGACATGAAGGATTTCGGTGAGGAGGGTAATAAGTGGCGTGAACCGAGTATATGAGGAAGATGATTGGCCTTCTGATGTTGATGGGGGACGTCGTTCTTCTCGTTGTCTTGGATCATGTCGATCATCTTCTCTTCTTCTCTTAGGAGGGGCGTGGGTAGAGGCCTCCTCTATTCGTATGTATTTTTCTGCTCGATTCAACAGTTTCTCCGAATTGACTGGAGGTCTTCTAGCGATAGATTCCTTGAATCTACCTGGCTTCAGGTTTTGCTGCATGATTCCTGATAACATTTCTTCTCCCACGTTGGGAACTTCGTGGACAGCTTCTACAAAACGCTTGATGTAGGTGCGGAGTGCTTCATTATCTCTCTGGACGACAGAGAAGAGGTGTGCTGGAGTTTTAGCATACTGCTTGTTGATGGCAAATTGGTTGGTGAAGCGCTTTGATAATCGAGAGAAAGTTTCGATTGATCCTGTGGGCAAAGAGTTGAACCAGTTCATGGCCCTCTTTGATAGAGTGGTGCAGAACATCTTGCATATTGCCGCATCTATCGGGCCGTATAAATCCGCCATAGCGTTGAATTTCTCAATGTGTTCGTGTGGGTCAGTTGTTCCTTCGAATTAGGGTAAGCCTGAGACTTTCACTCCCTGAGGTAATACCTCATTGAGTATGTTCATAGTAAAAGGACTGCGTCTTACTGGAGTCGGTGCTCTTCCGCCAATTGGGTCGTTTAGTTGGGGGAGAGAGTTCACATGAGATAGCCTACGGTTTATCTCATCATCCCATTCGTTCATTGGAGAATTTCTCCGTGGAGACGCGTTACCTCTTGGAGGTGAACGCGGTTGTCATCTCCTAGGTTGTGCCCTTGTCTGATTGGTGGATTGTTGCATCCGGGACCTTGGGTCCGTGGTGGATGATGATGATGCACTTATGCGGTGGTCGTTGTCTAGGGGCGGTGGCGGTGCCACCGGTGGAATCACATGAGGAGTGTTTGCTCCTGCTTTGGCGATGTATTGAGCCACTGCTTCCGTAGCAGCGTAAGTAGAAGCTTCCATAATCATCTGTTGGGGCGCCTCTTCGCGATCTTGATGTATTATGTCGGAGTATATTTCGTTTTGTCCTATTAATTTTTTTATGGTTGAAAACTTGTCTACATGCATGGCTATAACGGGTTTTTGTGACTATAAACAACCTTTATATTTCCTAGGGCAAATTACGACCATCCTGAGGTATGGCTAAATTACAAAAAAAACCATCTTGTTTGGGTAATTACAGCCACCCCCTTCATTTTAAATATTTTTACATAAAATTTATCTAATTCGGTTATTTACCGAATCAAATCATATATTCAGTTCGGTAAACGGTATAAAATGTTGGCGTACCGAAATTTCGGTTCAGTTTTACCGATTTAACATCCCAATATAATCTCTAGAGGGGTATTGTAAGATAATATATAGTTGAGGGGGTGGCTGTAATTACCCAAATAGGAGGGGGTTTTCGTAATTTGACCATAAATCAGGGGTGGCGTAATTTGCCCATTCCATATATTATCGGGTGTAGCATCTCTAAAATCGAAATTTTCTGTATTTTTTATTTATTTTTTGAATTAAAATTTCATTATTAAATTGAGAAATAAAACATCAATGGAGGAAATATATTTATACATAAGTAGTTTATATGTAATGAAACATATTTCCTTATAGGATACAAACTAGACTCATTATAATCCAAATATAACACCAATTCCTTACGTTTCAAGAATCCCCCTTATAAATATTCACTAATATACCTCACCACCATAAACACAAAATCAGGTTAATCCATCTTCTTCTTCATATTTTCTCTTCGAATATTCTATTTTCAGTTTCTTCCTCTTCTTCAAGAAAACAACAACAATGTCGGAATCAGAATCATCGTCCGATAATAGTGAGTGGGAATCATCGTCCGATAATAGCGAGTGGGAATCGAATCCAGAACCCCGGCCTCTTTTCCAGGAAGTACTACAAAATTTACAACCAGAGGATCAAATTCCAGTTAGTTTTCAAGCTCCAGAGTTTAAAAGACAGCGCGGTTCCATCATACAGCGGCGTACTGGAATTCGACGCACAAGAAGGCAACGTCTATCTGCAAGGGTGGATGTTTCAGAATCTTGGAATCGAAGAGGGAGAAAATATAGTTGTGAGCAACGCATCCAACGTACTTAAAGGGTTTTACATGAAACCCCAGCCCCACACAAAGGCGTTCACCGAGCTGAGCGACCCGAGGGCGATTTTGGAAAAGGTGCTTAGGGGGTTCACGTGTTTGGGCAGCAGGACCACGATCGCCATCAAGTATAATCGAGTGGATCGGATTTCTACTTTGACGTTTTGGAGGTGAATCCGGGTGATGTTATTGCGTTGATTGATACTGATTGCGAGGTGGAATTTGCGCCACTTAAAGGTGGCCTCAAGTGTATTTATCACGTCTCTGGTAAAAACAACGGTGACCTTTTGTTTGTAGTTTATGTGAAGGATGTGTATAGTTATTAATTCAGTGTAGATAAATTAATGTTATTGCATGAATTTAATATTTCGAAGTATTTATACATACAAATAGAATAATAAAAATACCAAGAGCTGAGAAATGTACGTAATGAAGAGGTAAAATTTAATATTGCATGTTTATTATATAAACGTAAAAGATGCAAAATGTGACAGTGAAAATAATGTAAGGACATTGATGAAAAATAAACATACGATGAAATATTATTGTTGCAGTGGAAAAGATACGTAATAATTATAGTGAGAAGCTATAGTGATGGTGCCCATTTGGACCCCTCAAGTATTTATGTATATCTGCGTATATTTGTATGTATATTTATGCTTGTGTGTGTAGTATGATGTGAGTGTGTGTTGGAGGTGTGAGTGTGTGTTTTTCTCTGGTTTCTCTCCTGCCCTTTCTTAGCCGAAAACTCCCCTCTTATCCCCTTATCTGTATTGGGGCGCGTGCCATTTTATTGGGCTGATGGGCTGATCTTGGGCCTGGGCCGAGAAGAGAGGGGTTTATGGTGGGATTTTGGGCCTGGGGAAATCTGTCCCGATCATCTACTCCCCTCAGTTCGTCATGAGGAGTGCGGAGCAACTAGTCGTGGCGAACTACTCTCTCGAGATGCTTTGACGAGATGAAGAGGCGCGAAGTAACTAGTCACCTCGAGTTTGGTTTTTCTATCTTTTCTCTTTTTTTTTTTGGAACGAGATGTCGTTCTTCGCTCTATGAACAAATTACCGGTTACTTTAGTTCTTTCCTAATGTCATGTTTTTCTTTTCACTATGTATTTTACGACGTACATTCTTCATTATGACTTCAATATTCCCTGCATTTAAACCGAGTGCGACCGATACCGATCGCACTCCACTGTCGGATCGCACTCCTCTTTTGGATGCAAGATACCTCGTCTTACTACTCTTTCGGATGCGAGATACCTCGTCTTACTCCAATGCAACCGATACCGATCGCACTCTTTTTTCGGATGCGAGATACCTCGTCTTACTCCTCTTTCGGATACCTCGTCTTACTCCTCTTTCGGATGCGAGATACTTCGTCTTACTTCTCTTTCGGATGCGAGATACCTCATCTTACTCCAATGCGACCGATTCCTATCGCACTCCTTTTTCGGATGCGAGATACCTCGTCTTACTCCTCTTTCGCATGCTAGATACCTCGTCTTACTCCTCTTTCGGATGCGAGATTACCTCGTCTTACTCCTCTTTTGGATGCGAGATACCTCGTCTTATTCCTCTTTCGGATGCGAGATACCTCGTCTTACTCCTCTTTCGGATGCGAGATACCTCATCTTACTCCAGTGCGACCGATACCGATCGCACTCCTTTTTCGTGCGGGTTTGATTCCAACCCCATCTTTTCGGTAACGCGGCCGATACCGACCGCGGTCTTCACGTCGTACGAGGTCGATACCGACCGCGGTCTTCACGTCGTACGAGGTCGATTCCGACCCCGCCTGTTTTGTTTGCAATTTGCGCCATTTTCGAGAGAGAAATGCCAAGCCTCGGACAAGTACCTCATAAAGACAAATATCAAAAGTAAATTCGTAAAAAACCCAATAGCGCAACGCAACATCTCAAAGTTTCAAGGTGCAAACAATTTTTGCTCCAAACAAAACGATCACATCCAGCAAATATCATAGGGACATCAAATAGCATATGAGTATAGCCCAAATTGAGTTGAGAATTATCCTTCTTAAATAAATCCATTTATTCGCATATTGCGAGTTTACTATACCATTAACATGCTCATGACATAAAACTTGTAGGCATAAAACTTGCATTAATACTCATTATTTCGTGCACCATAGAAAAGACATCATATTTTCGGAAAACTTCCCTGTTGTGTGATTGCAATCTGAAGTGCTGGAGAATTAAATGCGAGCATGGTCTATGGGTGCACGAGTATCCAGCCAAGAGTAGGGGACCGGATAAAATGACCTCGAATGATGCGCCGGCATATTGACGACGACCTTCATGAGGGTTTCCGATGGCAGGGAGATGGAAGAGTACCCATTTTTTGGGCAACAAGTTGAAGAAATAGCTATGTACAGCAGTGCTACTATGCGGTGTCGTTTGAATGCATTTATTTGCTTTTCTTGGTCCCTTTCCATGGCCGAAAACAGAGGGAACTCAAGAATGCCGGAAAATCGACGGAAGAATGACGAAGACAGTAGCAAATTGCCGGTCAACTCACGTCTATAACTCAATTATTCCAACAGACGGCGCCATTTGATGGTGCCCATTTGGACCCCTCAAGTATTTGTATATATCTGTGTATATTTGTATGTATATTTATGCTTGTGTGTGTAGTATGATGTGAGTGTGTGTTGGAGGTGTGAGTGTGTGTTTTTCTCTGGTTTCTCTCCTGCCCTTTCTTAGCCGAAAACTCCCCTCTTATCCCCTTATCTGTATTGGGGCGCGTGCCATTTTATTGGGCTGATGGGTTGATCTTGGGCCTGGGCCGAGAAGAGAGGGGTTTATGGTAAGAAATGTACGTAATGAAGAGGTAAAATTTAATATTGCATGTTTACTATATAAACGTAAAAGATGCAAAATGTGACAATGAAAATAATGTAAGGACATTAATGAAAATTAAACATACGATGAAAAATTATTGTTGCAGTGGAAAAGATGCATAATAATTATAGTCATAAGCTATAGTAAATAACCAAGTCATGAAATGCTATTAGAAGAAATACAAAACAAATAAAGATCATTAAATAAAAACGCGAATGTCTTTCCCAAACACAACATAAATTAGATGACCGTAAGTGTAGCAATTTGATACAAAAGTTTGACCATAAAGCAGGCTGGCGTTTATAATTGGAGTTTATAAGTGAAGAAAATTTACAGTTTTAATCTAACGCAATGAATTCAGTAAGTAATTATTTTTTTTTCAATGTTTTACAATTTTCATATTACAACTTTTACGAAATGAATAGTTGTTAAACAGTAATAAATAACTATCTAAAAGAAAGTCTGAATTCATGCTTAAACGAAAACGGTAGCATATGAAATTAAGGAACTTTTGTATATATTATTAATTGTACACGAATTGGACGAAAAATGCACATTAATAACTTATCATTTGGAATGTAACTACGATAATGTATAAGCAATTCTTGCAAATTATTTACAAATGCGTATTTGAATCCAACATAACTTGTCATTAAAAAATCTAATCCTAACCACATAGTATATCTATCAATGGTCGTATGATGCTTCCTACTATAGAAGGGAAATTTTGTTAACCATTACGATGACAATTCAGATCCATACGGCTACAAATACCTTATAGAGAGGCATGCATTCCACATTACTTTGTCCATCATGTTAAACATAATCAAATAGCCTGCAGGAAAAAGTAAATCTCATTTGAATTGGCATGATACTAAATTCAAATTCTTACAAAATAAGTTGTAAAAGAAATGTTTTACAAACATCAGAATGAATGAGGAGTTTATGAGAAAAAAGTTGGGTAAAAAGTAATCAATCAGATAAGTTTCTATATGCTCCGATACGTTCCACCTGTCAAGCAGATAACTTTACAGACGTATTCAGCTAATAATGCACAAGTGATAGAATTTACAATAGTCGTACCAAATTATAAACTGCACTATCCATTCTTTACAAAGATTAATTTACTGCGCTATTATTTGTAAGCAAGTGTGTCGTATAACAATAATGTATTTAAGAAAATGAGATGTTACCAAATAATCAGCAAGAATAACTTAGGAAGTCAATAAAAATGAATAAAATTCATACCATTTTCTTATAATTACTGAGATTATTAATTAGTCAATAACATTTTAATTTTTAAACTATCAGAATACCAAAAAAAAGTATTATTCAATATCATTAAAAAGCAAAAGTATAAAAAAACAAACAAACGGGGGGGGGGGGGGGGGGGGGACATTCTCTAGAACAGAGTCCGCAAACTCTCTCTTCTCACCAGCAAACTCTCTCTTCTCACCAGAACCATCATAAAACTCTCCTCAATTCAGTAAATGCTTACATAAATTAAAGACTAAGAACAACACATCACCTCTACAATCCTGCAATTTTGATGTGTAATTTTCCCAAAGAAAGGTTCCATAAAAAAGTCCCAAATTTCAGTTTCTTGCAAGGATTCTCAAGCATCTCTCAAAATCCCAATTAGGTAGTAATCTCAGAATATTTTACCAAAAAACACAAGTTATAGTGAAGATATATTAGACAACCCGGCAAAAAACCTAATGAGATCCCGTTGCCATGAAAAAATCGAACATTTTATGGCGCCATTTGGCCATATCCTTGTCGCAGTCCACAACTATTTGTTCTCTCTCCGCTTAGCCCAGACGTGAACCACTGCTCTGATCGTGCAGGCTTCTATTGTTTCCCGAATCGGCTGATTTAGTTGAAAATTTGGGATTTCGAATTGAGGGAGACGACGCAGCGGGGGACTTTGAGATTGTAGAAACAGTGGCAAAAGTTGTGAGATTAAAGAAAAGCTTGACGTTGGGACCATCAAAGAAGAGATTCACATAGAAGTGGGTGCGATGGTGACTAGGAGAGAGGCTGTCGGCGAGATGCTTGTGGTGGCAGTGTTTTTTCTGCTCAATATTTGATTTTGGAAGGTGAGCTTACTATGGTTGTACTCAAACGTACAACCCGATAATGCAAACATATTTTAAGGATGAAACGGTAAAAGCAAACATATACTAACGGTATTAATTTTTTGACCGTTGACTGAAAACAGTAGGGGCCATTTTCTTACGTTTCGTAGTTCAATGGGGTGTTTGTGACAACCTTATCGTTCAGGGGTGCAAATTGTACTTTCCCCTAAAAACTATTTCAAAAGAATTAAGTATGCATAGTGTTATGCAGTGATGTATGTAGCATCAATTTATACTAAATTAATAATGTAGGTAAAAAACATTAAATATAAATAATAAAAAAACATTTTAAATTGTTTACTTCTCCTATAATATGGTAATTATAAGGTTAAATATGCTTTGCACCCCTGAAGTATAGCATATGTTACATTTACTCCTTAAAGTATCATTTATAACACTTACCCCCTCAACATTAATTATTATATATTTTAAAATAAAAAACATAATAAACTAATAATTGTTGGATATATAAATTTGAAAAGTAACAAAATTATTGGAAAATAATTAAAAACTAATATATATTGTTTAATAATTAATGAAAATATATTTTAAGAAATTAATGAATTAAAATAAATTTAAATAATTAACATTACTATTACTTATGTATTGATTTTTTAAATTTATCAATATGAATATATTCAATTAATTGATCCGACAACAATTAGATGTTATTTACTATGAATATAATATTTTTAAATTTTACAATATTGCCTTTTTCAGCATATATTTTTAATTATTTAATTTAATTATTCATTTAGTTATTCCGTTCAATAAAAGAGAAAATTTTAAGGGATTAGAATTTAAAATACAAATTAAATTATGCTTCAGGGTAAGTTACCCCTAAAACATAATTTAATTTGTATTTTAAATTCTAATTCCTTTAAATTTGTTATTTTCCCTCCATGTGCTCCCGCCAAAACCCAAAAGTTAATAAAAAATAAAAATTTCGTACAATAAAATATATAAAGAGTCCCTCCACCCAATCTCACGAATACGACACACAGAAACATAATGAGCAAAGTAGGCGGCGTTAGTGGTGGCGCAGCGCCAACAGGGTGCTACAAGTGCGGCCGCCCCGGCCACTGGTCCCGCGATTGTCCTTCCAACCCCAACTCCGAAATCAACAACAACAACAACGCAGATCCTCCGTCCAATTCCGACTTCAGTGCGAAGCCACCTCTCCCGAACCAGAAGCCGAAGCAGAAGCCACCGAGAAGAACCAGGCCCAAACTCACCCCTGATCTTCTTCTCTCTGATTCCGGCGTCGGCCACATCCTCCGCTACTTTCCCCGCGCCTTCAAGTGCCGCGGCCGCGGCCACGAGGTCCAAATCCCTAAATTACCCTTTCCAACAATTAATTTAGAAAATGTTTTTATTTTCTTCATTTAAAATTTAAAATTCATTAGGGGTTAATGCACAGATGTATAGCATTATGTTTTTGTTTGTGGAAACCTGCAGTTGCCCAGTTTGTTATATATATCCACAAAATTGTGATTAGGGCTTGAAATAGTTTTCTTTGAAAAATGATGATATAATTAGGATTTTTTTTATGAGTTTTTTATTTATTTATTCAGCCTCTCTTTTTATGAGTTATTTTATCTTTCTTGAATCTAACTATTTTAATACAGGTTAATGATTTGCGACACCTTCTTCGGTTATATGCCGAATGGCACTCGCATTTACTTCCCTATTACAACTTTGATCAATTCATACATAAGGTGGAACAAGTGGGTGCTACAAAGCGTGTTAAGGCAAGAAATTCCTCTTTTCATTGTTGGATCTATTTAATCGTTTATATTTTAATGTTCACTGGTTTGTTGACTCTTAAGAGTAGGGAATGAGCATTTCTCTTCCTTGTATGCTTCTTACGATTTCGAACTTCTGTAGTGTGGAAATATTTGTCTGGAGACTATTTCCCTTGTTATGGTTAAAGTTTTGTATTACTTCGTTTTGTAGATCGGCAAAAGAAAATGATAGGAATCAGAAGGTATTATTATTGGTATCTATAAAATCTAGATGATGATATGATCTTGTCTAAGTTTTTTAGGCTTAGCAAGTAGCAACTCATGGACAAGCAGAACCTTATTGTATTTATTATCTTTGTTTACTTAGTAAACAATTTCGTATTGTATTAACTTGGCTACATAATTTGTGATCACTTCATAAAATATGATTTAAGGGTGAATTTCTAGTGTACTAATAAAAAAGAGAACTCAATCTGCATGCCATTCTCTACTAGGGTGGATATATGGTATCTTATACCTCTCCACTTGACGCTCAAAGATGGTGCCTTCTTCTACGTACGAGCCTTTCCCTCCTTACAGATTTCAATAGTAAATTATCCTTGTTAAATATGTAATCAAAGTACATAGGTTAATTACTGTGTGATAAGTATGTGTTGTAGCTAGTTGAACTATTCTTCTCATAGATGTCGATTAGGTGTTATTTTAACTTCTTCCTTTGGTGCTTCTTACCTTTATTACGCACCATTAGGCTAAATCTAAATCTTTATTATTTTAATTGATTTTAAGAAGAGTTCTATACCTTGTTTGATCCTTATATAAGTAACAAAAATGCAAATCAAATAGTGTTTGCATAAAAGGAATATTTAAATAAGTAACTTGTATTTGTATTCCAGGTTAAGTATTCCCAATTAATAACGAGTGGGGTCTGGGTTGTGTAAGTTTCAGCAATGATATGTGTAATGCTATTCAAATCCCTTCAAAATAGATTGAAGCTGAAGATTTTGGAATTTGAGAATATTGTCAAATATGTCTAGAATATTTGATTGTACTAAGACTTTTTTTTTCGCTTTATATTAGAATAAGTGTGTCATGCTAGTACTTAACTCTATTTTTTTCTCATATTTCCATTTTCTCCAATACACTAAGAAGGTTCCAAATTTATTCACAAGTTGAAATGCCAATTAGCAATTGGTTCAAATCAAAATACTGGTCTCGATGAAAATTTGTGTTTCAATACAAGTGTATCTCTCTATCTAATCTGGAATTTGATTACCTGTATGAGAAACATTTTTCTACATAAAACAACCGGGTATAATTCAATAGAAGTGTATCATAAATTTATTTGAGCATCATAAATTCTATACTTGCAATTCATCAACTTACATAATTTATATTTAATCCTTGAATGTATGTTTTCTTGACTTTTTTTCTAATTTACATTTTTCTTCAAGTAGATCTGTCTTAGAGAACTACGAGAGAAAGTTGCTAATGGAATAGACCTAGCAAAGCTGCAGGAGCCCCAAGTCCAACAGAACTCGGTAGATAAACAAGGTACCTCAGTTTTATTAACCAATCTTTAAAATGCTTTCATTTGGTTGGTTGTATACACAACTGGTTCGACGCCAAAAATCTTACATTATTGGAAGTAATTTCAGCAAAATGAATGGTTTGAAATTAGTGGTTTGTATTCTTTGATTGATTGATGTTTTCGTTTTTTTCTTTTTTGCGCAGATTCTACAGGTGACGTTGACATGCCAAGTCCTTTCCCAGAAAATGATTTACAAAATGAAGACTTGAATAATTTTCAAGAAGACATGCCTCAGAGCATCTGGGAGAAAGCCACTCAAGTAAGTTCTTTGTTTTTTCAATTTCGGTACGAATCGCTACCATTTTCGAGCTAGTGTTTTGATCAGTTAGCTCCAGCTAGAATGAGTTAGGCAGCTACTCTTAAAGAGCCACAACAAGGAAATTACGGGACAATGTTTTTCTCTAACGAAGTGGAATAATTATAATACTTACTTTAAATGTATGTATTTTGGCAGGAAACATCGCAACCTGTGCAAGTTGAAGAAGAGGTTGCGCCGAATGAGAGAGTGGACCCAAGTGCTGCTGGCGTTCGTAATAAAATTGAGATGTCGGAAGAACAAAAGGAGCGCATGGAAGCTAACAGGTTAAAAGCATTAGAGAAAGCAGCTGCTAGGTCTCGTTCCTTACGTGCTTGATTTGCTCTTCCTTTTTTGACCAGTTGTTACTCGGCACACATGCTGTTACAGATTAGCCAGCCAAATTCAAAGATAAATATAGATGAAATATTTATTTGGCTGGTTTATGTCATATTTATAAAACTACCTTCAGTTTGTCTATACATTGTTACATTTCATCTACAAGCCGCAAGCGTATGGTCCTCCAATAAAATTTTATTTCATCTAAGATATATGAAACATGCATATATATATATATATATATATATATATATATATATATATATATATATATATATATATATATATATATATATATGTGTGTGTGAAATCTAGTTTGATGCTTTCTGCAATTTGTTTTGAACTAAAATTCTCTCCTTCTTATTAGTTTATCTCTAATAAGTTGACTTGGAGAACATCATTACCAATTTCTTTTTTTAATTCCTTATCTCAGTCAAGAATTTCTGCTTTTTAAGATTGATGCTCTGTTTCTCCAAATATCACTCCAAAAAAATAAAAAATAAAACAATTCATCACGAGCAAGAATTTATTCACATTTCTCATCACAAATGTTATGATTCATCTGTTTCTTTACTCCTTGAATATTAAGCCAGCAAGAAGTGGTTAGAAATCGGAAATATTCGGCTTTCCAAACAAATCAACAATCTTCGGTGCCACGACCAGAAACTGAGACGCAATTCCTTCGCCCTCTTCACCAGTAAACTTGTTTTCTCATCGCTCGCCCCTGTGGATTGAGCTCGGAGAATACGACGTCGTTTGCACCACAAGTGGCAACAATTGCTACAACAGGAATGTCCCGATTAGTGAAAATGAAGTCTTGATCTCGAACAACTTCTTTTACAAGAGATGGTGAGTTTATTATAACATAGAGTTTGTTCCCAAGAGAAATCTTGAATATTGGACTGTATTTGTGCCCCAAATCTGTGAACTTTTGGAATAAATTGTTGCCAATAAATGGAATAAACGGCTTCACTGGGTCAGTTCAGTTTTTTTTCAGTTTTTTTTTTATTTGTTTATTTTTTTTATTTTTTTTAAATCCGAGAGAACCACCCGCCCCGCCCGGTGGTTCACGGTTCACATAATTCCATAACCGGGCCCGTCCCGAGGGACACGGGCCGCTTTACGATTCCGGTACCGGTTCACCAGTCAACGGGCCGGTTAGGGACAGTTCCGGGCCGAAAACCGGCCCATGGCCGTGTCTAAGGGGACCTGGTGGCATGGGAGGATTTTTTTCTTCTTCGTCTGTATGAGTGTGCATGTGAGAGAGAGGACACAGAAAGAGGAGAAAAAAAGAGATAAAAAAATAGGGCCCACAATTTTAAAAATGTGCAACTCTTTTAGTTAAGGTGACAAAATGCAAAAACGGACAAAGTTCAAATGGCGAAATGCTATTAACCCTATTTTTAATTCAAAAGTTCTTATGCAAGCGTTCAAAAACTTGAAGATTCAATTAACCTTAGTGACAAGCTCGAACTTGAACTTAAGCCTATATATTAGCTCACCGAGCTCGAATTTATGCTAAAAAATTTACTCGAACTCGAGCTCAAGTCCTTCGAAATGTGTCAAACTCGACTTGATGATTTCCACTGATTTGCACCCTTCTGTTGAACTAATCTTGAAATGGAATAGGTAACCAATAACCATCCATCTCTTTGGATGTGGTGTTACTAAGTTTCCTTAAACTTCACCTCCATAACATTTCACCACACTCCAAATCAAGCCCTGTAATGCTATAACCATATAACATCACAGATCATATTTTTTTATTTTTTATTTTTTATTATTAAATGAAAAAAAAAGCGGGTAATCAATCAATAGATGAATGTTAAAGCCAGAAAAAAAAGAATACACAAATATGGTTTGCTTCTTAAATTGATATAACCATCAACCAAAACCAAAAATCAAATAAAAATCATATGCTGGAGTGATCTTCCCTGGACAAGCTCTGAACAGTATCGGACCATCTCCCGGGAGAATGGTCGCTACTATTTGACGACAATTGAACTTCCCCTCTCGCCTCTCTCATCATCCTCAACACATCCTTCATCGCCAAACGATTCTCGGGCGCAACGCAAACACACCCCATCGCTATATTCAAGATAGCACTCATCTTTTCTTCAGACCCTTCATTACCCGAAGAATTAGGGTCGTCCCCCGATTCATGAGTCTCCTCCTCCCGAATGGATTTGACCCATTTAGGAATATCCGACCCGTATTCTTGGACCAGGTCTTGGAAAGGAGTCTTTCCGGTTAGAAGCTCCAGTAAGAGGACACCGTAGCTGTACACATCGGCTTGTTGCGTTATCGGCTTTCGCGGGTCCCGGCACTCGGGGGCTCTGTAGAATAGGGAAGATGCGCTGGATGATTCCTCGGGCGGTGAGTCCGGGTTTCGGAATAGGGTTAATCCGTAATCGGTTAGGCAAGATTCGAAATCGGAACCCAATAGTACGTTTGTGGATTTTAGGTTTCCGTGTGTGAGGCCGGGGTTTTGATGGATGTAGAGCAGCCCTGCCGCTAAGTCCTCTGCTATTTTTAGACATGATGTCCAGTGAAGAGGCTTCGATGAACCGCCTGAAGATCTTGATCCTGCATATGTAGTGGTTATTCGAAGATCTAATATAACTCAACATCGCAGAACATACACAAAAACGCAAATGTTACGCGTAAAAAGTCGAAATTTAAAATTTCTACCATCTCTACTTTTAGCAGAGCACGAGCATCAATCAACGTGCTAGTAGAAATTTTAAACTCGCAAACGTAAGGATTTTATGTATATAACTTTTTATCATCGAATCTAGCGACCGGTTCATCTCAAATTGCAATAACTAATCGCTCAAAATTTGCAACGTATATTCGTTATTTACGGAAAGTTTAAAAAAACAAACAGAACAGCATACCGTGTACGAGAGAGAAGAGACTTCCGTTCGGGAAATAATCATACACAACCAATCGTTCCTCCTTCGCCTGAAAATAGGCCCTTAGTGGAACCAAATTAGGATGTCTTAATCTACCAAGAATCTCGATGTGCCTTCTAAATTCCTCCATTTTCGGATACCGAGCTTCCTTTAACCTCTTAACAGTAACAATATACCCCGACTCCATAACCGCTTTGTAAGTACTTCCGATAGTACCCCTCCCTAACGTCTCCGCCGAAGCCTTCAATAAATCCTCTAAACCATAACTCATCAACTGATCACTCGATCCAAGAAAAGTCAAATTCCCGTTTCCTTCATCCCAAGAAATACTCCCCCGTTTATTATTATTATTGTTATCTCCACCACCACCGTTATCACCGCCACTAGGAGGAGTAGCCGCCGCCTCATCCACACCTCGTCCGACCACCGCTTTAGACCGTACCTCGCTTCGCTTACTCGTCCTCCTCAAACACATAACTAAAACTAGTGCTAAAATACATACTACGAAAAACCCGCCGACGCTCGAAACAATTATTATTATAAGTTTCTTGTTCGTCTTCCGACTCCCAACGTTCTTCTTCGAGGGGAGTATTGTTGGATACGATGGACTGGGCGAAGGACCGGAAAGAGTGCATGGTTTTTGAATTTGTTCGCCGCACAAACCGATGTTGCCGACGAACGAAGATCGATTCGATCCGAGCAACGGTGGAGTTAGTGGGATCTGTCCAGAGAGTGCATTATTCGACACATTGATGAATCTTAAACTGTTTTGATTAAAGGGGGGAACAGCACCACTGAACCGATTGTCCTGCAAGTAAAGAAGATACAATCTAGGCAAATCGACCAACGAACCCGGAATCTGACCCGATAACTCGTTACCGGAAAGATCGATAACTTTGAGACGATGAAGAAGAGAAAGACCAACAGGGAATATTCCGCCGGAGAATCTGTTGTCGTTGAGGAAGAGAGACTTGAGATTGACTAGGCCGGAGAGTGGTGGGATTTGGCCGGAGAGTGAGTTTTGTTTGAAGCTGAGTACCCTGAGTTGATCCAACTGATTCAGGCTTTCGGAATCTAATTGGCCGCTCAAGTTAAATCCTTCAACCACGAGTTTTGTGATTCTGCCATTAAGGCATTGCTTAACTCCTTGCCACGTGCAGATATCAGTACTGTTGGCTACACCCCATTGAAGGAAATTGGAAGATGGGTCCACCGACATTTTCAAAGCAAGAAGAGCGTCGTAATCACTTGTTGTTGATCTTACTTGTGGGATTAATGCAGTGAGTAGTAGTAGCAGTGATAGTGATGTAATAAGCAAGAAGATATGTTTGTTGTTGTTGTTGTTGTACCTGGAGATTGAGGAACACAGACCGGTACTGTACAACGTCATCATCATACTTAAATTAGATTAATGGAGATTCAAAGAAAAAATGAATCTTGGAAAGGAGAAGCAGACGACGACAGGTGTCGTCGTTTGATGAAGAAGAAGAAAAGCATGGAGAAGAATCTTTGATGATGATGGTGATGAAAGGGAGGAAGATGGGGAAAGGGGGAATAGCTTTCAGTGTGCTTTCGTAATAATAATGAGGGGAATCTCCAGATCTAGCGAACCAGAGTAGTGTGATGTCATCAAAGTGTAAAATGTAAGGCGCCAATTAGTGTCACTGTCAACACTACACGGCCTTAGGTTTGACTAATATTATAGGGTAAACTACCGCAACAACTCAGGTTAAGCAAAACTACCAAATATCCCCTCGTATTTGTATAATTATATACACCGCTCAATTATAAATTTTCTTGGGTTGGTAAATTACACTCACCCCCTTGAAATGTAGTTATAAACTCTAATAGACTAATGCATTGGATACGTTATTACGATAGAGTTCTAACGGACTATTGATTTCAGGAAGTGGTGGAGACAACAAATATGGGTGATTTAAGAAATATTGGACCCCATAACTCTATGTAGGGATGACAACGAGTCGGTTCTGGGCCGGGTTTGCCTAAACCCAAGACCCGACACACAAAAAATATATAAACCCAAGACCCGCCCCACACTCGCTTTCATTAGCTTATGACCCATGACCCGCCCCAACCCAGACCCTAACTAAACGGTTATGACTCGCGCTAGACCCGTTAACATACAAAAAGTTTAATATTTTTTAACTTTCATAACATTTTGCTTGTATATTTTTACGAAATAATCTCAATACTAAAATACAATATTTAAAAAAATCTCTACAAGTGATATAACATGAACAATACAATTACAATTAATTATATGTAACTTCGATAATAAGTAAAATTCAAAATGCAAGACAATTAGCGGTGGTCCACAAGTGATAAATATTAATCATGAGAAATGAGATTCGAAAAATAAAACAGTGAAAATAGGTAAAATGATAATAGACAAAATGGAAATTGATAGTTTGATAAATGAAATCCAAAATTATATATATATATATATATATATATATATATATATATATATATATATATATATATATATATATATATATATATATATATATATATATATATATATATATATATATATATATATATATATATATATATATATATATATATATATATATATATATATATATATATATATATATATATATATATATACGGGTCGGTTCTGGGCCGGTTCCAATAAAACCCGTAACCCGATCCAGAACCATCCGGTTCTAGAAACTTAAACTCATTACCCGACCCAAAACCATTTAGCTGACCCAGACCCGCCCCAAACGGGTCGGTTCCGGGTCCAAGACCCGCCAAACCCGTACCCATTGCCATCCCTATCTCTATGTTATCTCCACCACTAGCTAAAAAAATAATAGTCCATTAGAACCCTATCGGAATAATGTATCAAATGCATTATCCCGTTAGAGTTTCTAACTATGTTTCAGGAGGTGAGTGTAATTATCGATACCATAGGAACCTTAAAATTATTTAAGCATACTACAGGAGCGTGGGTGTAATTTACCCAATTTTCTTACACTTTCATTCTTGTTATGTCAAATTTAGTGGAATCTCTAGATTATAGGTAATATTCTCAAGTTTGTATCTGTTTTATCACATTCGAACTCCACATTTTGAAGCAAGATGATCATAAGATGTGTTTATTGGCTTGTATATATCCAGATTGTGGTGCACCAGAAGCTGCATTTTTGCACAAAACGAGTACAACGAGAGAACATTCCACATAATTTGGAAAATTATGTTGAATTTGACACCATAAAGATGAACATGTAAAAAAATTCATAATTGAGAAGGATAGTTTTACTAACCCAAACATTAGGGTTTTTTTTCTCGTAATTTAACCTTACTTGTAATTTACCCAATATTATATATATTCTACTAAGACAGCTTTCTTTCATGGAAAATAGATAAAAGAAAAGAAGGCCAAAGAGACAAACACACGACACGACAAGGGTCATTCACTGTTGGAGTTTGGACTAACTGTAAAAAATTTATGATTTCAGTAATGAGGTGTGAACTGACTTTCTCTCTCATCTCATCGCCCTCTCTTTCTCTCTCTCTCTCTCTCCTGTCTCGAAAAATGGATAGGTGGTGGTGGGGGGCTTTCCTCGAATTTCATGGTCACGTGAAGTATGCTCAGGGTGTCTGCACACCCAAATATACCATTTCCTATTTCTTATTACTTTCCAACTCTCTCTCTCTCTCTCTCTTAATTTCTTCACTATATAACAATAATTGGACTAGTAATTTCCAACTCTCTCTCTCTCTCTCTCTCTTAATTTCTTCACTACATACATAATACATATAACAATTCAATTATTGGAGTATTAATTAAAAATAAAAATAAAAATTGTGCGGATTGGTTAATTTGTATATTTCTAACACTAAGAAAGAAGCTAAGCAAAGTGATATTGTCATGCGTGCCCACTGCGCCTTGGACTGCTAAATCTGATTTCTTTTGTGAGTTACGAATCCTTGGATCCACAACTGACCAACCAGCGTAATACAATTTAATTATATATATGTATATGTTACCACTTGTTTATTTTCATCTCTTTTTTCTTTAACAATGAGAATTGAATGCCTAAAGATATTTGTAATATGGGGAGATATCAAATATGACGTCAGTTGGATTTTTTTTTTCTCTACAATAATCCATCCAACTTTTTTGAAAAATGGGGTAATTTTTGGATTTATTTTAAATCTACAGTAAAACGTCATTCAAATCGTCCGATTGAAACGCTGATCAACGGCTCCTTTCTCCACCTTTGTAATCTTCTTAATCAACGGCATGTGATAGATGAAAGGATCGAACGGCCTTTAAAGGGCGCGATATTGAATGACGCGTCTTTGACCTGTCAGACGGTTAAACGATGTATCGCTTAACACATTTAAGTCATTTGCTCCCTTCTTCCCAACCGTAAGTATACTTGTCCCCCTTTCTTTGTTAGTAATTATTATTGTTTTTATTTGAATTTTGCTAATTTATATTTTAATTGTTGTAAGTAATTTTAATTAATTCCAGCAGAATATTTCTTGAGGTAAGAAATTCAATTTTTTTTTGTTGTTGTTTACTTGTTATAATTAGGTTAAACTTTAACTTGTGGTGGGATTAACAAGGAATCTTTGTTGCTAGCAAATCATAATTATTTGGAGGTAATTCTTTGTTATTATTTACAAATATAGTACAACTTGGAGCTGTTTTCTTTTTCTTCTTTTAAATAATGGCTGAAATTTAAATTTTGTTGTGTTTTGATTGTTATAATTATGTGGAAATGTAATTTGTTGTGGACTGGGAAGAGATTTTTGTTGCTAGCAAATAATAATTATTTGGAGATAATTATTTGTTATATTGTACAAATATAGAAAGACGTCTTTTTTTTTTTTTTTTTTTTTTTTTTTTTTTTTAAATAATGGCTGAAATTTAAATTTTGTTGTGTTTTGATTGTTATAATTAGGTGGAAATGTAATTTGTGGTGGATTGAGAATGGATTTTTGTTGCTAGCAAATGACAATTATTGGGAAGTAATTATTTGTTATATTGTATAAATACAGTACAACGTGGGGCTGTTTATTTTTCAATAATGGCTGAATTTTTTTATTTTATTTTTATTGTTATAACTAGGTGAAAGTCTAACTTGTAGTAGATTGAGAAGTGATTGTGGGTGCTAGCAAATCTTCAATTATCTTCGAGAGAAATTAAATGTTATATACGTTAGTTAAATTCTGACTTGAATGATAAGTTTTTTAAATTCTGTAAATTATTTATTTTTTAGCGAGTTAGTGTTATATGTATGTGTCGAAAAATTACGAGTTATACAATTTTTTACATAATAGTTTCTGAATCATCAAATTATAAAAATTCTACCTTTAGAGTTTCTAGCTATAAAAAGAATTAGAAAATATTAAATATTTCGAAATAAAAATAGAATATCAAAATATAGGGTTTTAATGGCGACCCCAGTTAGGAATATTGTCAAAGTTTTCGTGTACATAAGAGGCCACATTGTTCAAGATGGAGTGTCAGTAAATTATGATCAATCTCACCATACAGTTGTACGAGTTAAACACGATATCTCTTTCTCATACTTTTTGGACAAAATATACTGACGTTGCCAAATATATAGTAATGAATTTGTGTTATCAATGTCTAGCAAGATATCCGATGGTATCAAAATCAATGGAGAGAGATAGTTTATGAGATAACAAGTGATAATGATTTAGAAATCTATTTGCACCCGAATGAAGAAAACGATTCCGTAGATGTTTATGTTCAATCTCAACATTTATACAATCTTTTGATGCCTTCACAATTCACTACATCAGAACATGTATACTCTCCTACGATACCTTCACAACCTTTTGTGTTGAATGAAACATACAACTCCTTTATGCAAACAAATCCTGAGTTAGTTGCGGTTACACAACGGTTTTCTACTATGGCCTTTGAAGCGGGACTATCGAGGCCTTCTTATCAAAATCTTGGGGCATATATTGGGGAATCAGTGGCGTGAGAAATGTTTAGAAAATTTTGATCTTCCTAACGACACTCGTCATTATGATAATAACGATGACGAGGATCCTTTCGGAGACGCATATGGTGTTAGGGTAGGTGACCAACAAGCCAACTTGTGGCTGTGGTCCTTTTGTTTATTCTTGTAATAAATAATCGTTTTTTCGTATTAATGATAAAACACCTTGGCATTCTATATCTTTGTCCCTTGTTCAAACATAGATATAGTCTTTACAGTTATTACAGTTACTTATAATTGATCTTTTAGGATCGTGAGACACTACACCATTTATTTAAATATTATAACTGTTAAACCGTGTTCCTAGTCGAAGGGTTACGCCACCAATGAGTATATCGGCCTTTGCCATTAAGAGACTAGCACTTAGTGTATGTGTATTGTGTCTCATCAGTAAATGGTATTGTGATATCGGCATGCATAATTGGATGCTCGTAAGTTGACAAGTTCACTGAACTCCCTCATCCTAGAAGTCTCTAAGTGGTTCCCAATAATCAAGTAGATATCTTTATGATATAGTTGTACACCATTAGTTCTTAAGACCTAGACATCACCGTGACTTTACCAGAGG